CACGATAAGACCTCACCCCTTCACCAACAATTAAAACAATTTCAATTTTTGTTTGAAGTGACAGATGTGCCATGTTGAACTTTGTCAATCAAAATAAGCTGATATCAGTTAAAATGGGAACTTCAGAAATATTAAAATATGAACAGGAACTCACGAACAGAAAACAACTGGAACACAGGAACAATATCCAACACACATACAAGAATAATAAACACAATGGGAACAAAATCACGGCAGAAACAACGGTGATTCAAAGAACAACAATACTAGAAACAACAAATGCAATGAAAACTTTTCTGGAAGTTAATACAACAAGATCTTTTAACAATATTGTCAGGTTGATAGTAAATATCAATGAGCAACTGTTTTGCATGGTGATTTCGGGGCACCGCATGATTCAATAAAACTGATGTAATTCAATCCCTTCAAATGATTTCAGACAACAATATTGCAAGTAGGTAAAATAATCTAAATTCTACCGGTTCACTGAGTGCGACTTTTTCTTTAAAAATTAACAGTTGTTTGGGTGTTGCAATGAGTATGAAGATTAATTTTGTTTCGGATGGTAAAATGTTTCCTCAATATTTTGATAAAGGACCCCGCACATTTCTTATGAGAAATGGCTTGCCTTGAATTTTGCCGAAATTTTGATAGGTTGCGGTTCTTGATGTGCTGATTGAAAGTGTCCACAGCCAAAGCTCAGAACTGTACAGTTTTCGAGATGTGAACCTTTGAATATGATTTTTTCCATTTTTAGCTGTTTTTGCTCATCAATCGAGAGCTCTCACTTCTGGTTGGGATAGAATTTGAATGTTTCGAGTATGCTCCGAGTATGCTACGGCCATACAAAAGGATCTAAAAGCAGTTTAATGAATAGTTCAGATGCTTTTCCCAGCTGTATTTTTTGTTCAGTGGCAGCGGACCTCTATATGGAAATTTCAAAGTAAGAGAAGTTTTTATTTTCCAAGTCTGCTACGGCCATCCAAAGAGATCTGAAGGCAGTTTTATGATTGTTTTCAGATGCTTTTTCTCACACGGTATTTTTAGTTCAGTGGCAGCGGACCTCTATATAGAAATTTCATGGTACGAGAAAAAGTTTTTACTTTTTTCCAAGTCTGCTACGGCCATCCAAAGGGAACTAAAAATATGTTTATGAATGTTTTCAGATGCTCTTTCCCATGGTATTTTTTGTTCAGTGGCAGCGGACCTTTATATGGAAATTTTATAATACAAGAAAAAGTTTTTCATTCAAGTCTCCTACGGCCATCCAAAGGAATCTAAAAGCAGTTTCATGAATGTTTTCATATGCCCTTTACAACGTTGTTTTTTGTTCAGTGGCAGCGGATCTGGAAATGTTATAGTACAAGAAACAATTTTAATTTTTTTCAAGTCTCTTTCAGCCATCCATAGGAATCTGTTGAAGACACTGTATATAAGTTTAATATTTTTATTTTGACAGATTAATCACTTGTTTTAAGACAATTCAATATTGAGAATTTACTGTAAGTCAAGTTGAATAAAAGTTGCATTTAAAACGGCATTAACCAGGTTTATTAAACCAAAAAATTTTAACATTGGTCCTATACCTAACTAACGGATTCAAAAAACACTTTATTGTAAGATTTTCACTGCAATTTCTGCAAAGATAATTCGAAGGTTTTATTGAAATGACATCTTACTTAACCCCTTATTAAATAAAAAAATAGAGTTGTAAAATTCCGTAAAAAGAGTGTCCTCCCTTCACACAAAAATGTACGTTGTTCTTGAATCTTCCTGATAACGGAACTATTTCGTTATCGTTTTGGTCACCATGTATCCATCTATATACGAGAGCACAAGTCTATTTATAAAATAAGGATGACTTTGAACTGGTTTCATTTANAAAAAACAACAATAAAAATCAATTGGTGCTCCGGGGCGAATTCATTGATTCCAGTGGCGCACTTGCTTTTTCAAAAAAACAATCCTAGGAAATTTTACTTTTTAGGTTGTTCAATTGTTCGAAACCTACATATGTTTACCTGTTGTCACAAACATAGTATTCCAGCGTTCAGTTTGTTTCTGCCAAGGTATACGACGTGACGTTAAAATTACTGGATTACCACTATTAAACAACATACAAACCTAAAATTCCCTAGGATTTTTTATTTTTGTCCTTATCAACTTTAATACTTCGATTCATATATACGGGAACATCCAGAAATCTATAAAATTAAAAATTCTATCTGTTCCGACTTTGAATTATTCCAAAAAACGCCTAGAAAATGTCAGTCGATTTAGACCCGAAAATATTATAGTGGCAACACTAAATAGGGGTACTGGAATCGTCCATTGGTCTCTACAAGTTTCAACTTTCCATCTAATCTCTTTAATCAACTCGCTCATTTCTTTATCTTCACATATGTATTCTTCGTATAAGTTGAACTCTACTTTTTTGTTCAGTTAGTAGTTAGTATCACATTTTTATTTTCCATTTGTCAACTTCACATGAATAAAGTCGATCCTATCATCAATTTTTCCATCTGCTATTTTATTTCTATTGAAATTGATAATGAATAAGTTTCCTGAAATATTGGTGTTCCATCTTTAAAGATTATCTCAGTTTCATTTTATTTTTTTAGTGTACCTAATAGATTATTGTATTTTATGAAAATAAAATATATGTTTCATAGAAATGTGATTTATTTTACTTTTCGCCCATTCAACGTTATATTATATTTTTTTTAATGAAACTCTCTTTAAGTATTAGTCACAGTTCATTTCCACTAATCAATTATGTTTCACATAACTTGTCGATTTGACGTCTTCTATAAACTTATTCAACTAGTATTGAATCAGAATTTGTAGATACTTGCATTGAGTGATTTCCAAGTAAGGAAAAATGATTGAACCTTGCTTAGAATTACCGAATTATATAAAAAATATATTTATGAAATTAACGAAAACAAAACGCCTCACTTCTCGTAAACAATCACGGCATGTTTTATTTTTTGTAAATGATTACCGAATGTGCCTTTTATAACTATATTTTTTATCATTCGCTAATTCTTGTCTCGGTTCAGTGATTTTATCATACTTTTCAACTCTGAAATCACACAACACAAGAACAAATTTCCATTCAGAACTCTGATCAGTCATTACTCTATCTCTTCTGCCTCTATGAAATCAAAGTAAATGGGGCAAAATGAATATATAGAAGACGCCAAAGTGACAAGCTATGTGATGAATAGCATCCTTGATTATTAGTGAACATATTTGTAGATTCGATAATTTATCATTGAAAAATAATGAAAACAATGTTTTAATGAAATTAGAAAAAAATCAAGCGAGTTACAAATAAGATGTAACTCGCGCTCATTACACAAAATTGAACTTGTCGTAACTCTTTACATAAATAGCTATTCTAGAAGTATGGCCAAGCATAAAATGTATCAAATATACAAATTTTACAAACCTATTCTGATAAAAAATGGAAATTTAATCTTTTTTTCCCAAAGCTACATTCTTTGGAATCACAAACTACTCAACTGCAAACAAGAGAAACTTAAAATAAGATTGAAAATTTGCACATCATTTTCGTATTTTCAATTTTTAACGCACAGCGCCACTGCGATCTCTGTCCCAGCCACTGAGAAACGAATGAAAACATAATATTCAGCCAGCTGTATTTGAAATCTTGTCTATGACTTCACCAGCGCAGCGTTGCCAAGTGATGAACAGGCGAATGTGGGCATTCAATAAGAAATATTGTACTTTACTCTCGTCGCACTTATTTCGAGTGCTTACTTCCGCTACCCGCCAGCAGGGACATGCGTTGTTGATTAATTTGGCTAGAGAAAGTAAAGCAAGAAGAGAGATGAAAATATCGTTAACAGATAATATGTTACAGGGCTGCCAGAACTAGTGTTTTCGTACTAGATCTAGTGATTTCGGCCAATGTTCAGTACGTTAGTGTTACATTCTCAGAGTAACAAAAGACATAGAGTTTGCCATGCCTGTACGGTGCCTATACCAATACAATACCGTGTTTTGAAACGGATATCGTACTATCCTTTTCTGTACAACTTTGGGCGAGGGGGGTGGCGGGTAATGAGAGGTTATGGAGAGTTTGATTACATTTGAAGTTGGATCTTGAAACAGTGGCGGCTGGTTTAGTTGATAATCGGAGGGATAGTATATATTTATAAAATAAATCATTTCAGGTGAAAATGTATTCTGTTCAAATAGTTCCTACAGGAAATCTCATATATTATTAATTATTTTAGAAATGGGGCCAGTTTTTCTACCTCTTACTAAATTTTTATTTATGTATGGCTTTGTAAAAAGCGCGTGGTTTACGGGGTTAAAATTAAATTATTTCAAATGAACTGATACATAACAATGATAAATGTCAATTTCAAAAGTATTGAACTCTGGTTTATAAAATCAAATGAAGAAATTTGTGATTTTTTCTCAGATTTGAAGAGAACAAGTGGTACGGTTTGTGAGGTCCGATATAAAGAATTGTCGATTAGAAATCATGAATATTTATAATTACCATTGAGGTTTGATTTTATTATGTGATTTCATTCAAAATTGGTATCTAGGGGTCTTTGTGGACCGACATTATGATTTGTTCTTTCAATATTCATGCTGACGAATTCTATAATTGCGAAAAATCATTAATGTAAATGAAAAAACTTTACTCAAAAATAAAAAATGTTTTTCATATGTGTGCCATAGGTCATATTCATTCTGTGATCAACAGATTAAAAAGCTTTCTGCTCAATGTCCAGTTTGAATACTAAATAGATATTCTTGTGCAACTGGTGTTATATCTGTTATTGCTCACTTAACAACTAACTTACGTCACACAAAGATTATGATTCCCGTTTCGGTTTTTCTTTCTTTGCAACCAGGCACTCGAGTTGCATACAGACAATATTCAATAGGAAATGACGGTTGTCATTTTTTTCCTTTTTTTTTTGTTGCGATATGTCAAATAATGAAATAATATAAACCTAGTTTCAAAAACTATATTTACAAGAGAAAGAACACTTTATTGAATCAAGAAAATTTACATTCTATACAAATTAATAAATCCTCTACATAGATGGAGTATATATGGAATTACATTCATTGTTATAAAAGAAAATCTAATACAGAAGATGAGTAGATAGGTAGTTACAATCAACATATGTTACTGAACAGGATATTACTATACAGATAAGTACATTTACAAGTATCGAAAGGAGAAAAATAATAATAAAAAAATACACAGTTGTTTTGAATAAGTGGAAAAAATTACTCTTATGGCGGCAGTTTTTAATTGTTTCTGAACCTCTTTGTATCCAATGCTCTGATCTATAAAGTTATTTTATTAGAAATGTAAACTCATCTGAAAAATACCCAGTTTTGGCCATAGAGCCAGATAATTTGATGTATATAGAAAGATACTTGAAATCTATAAATGTTTTGTGGCACAATGTTGAAATTTTTGGAAAGCATGAGATTATAAATATTTTTGATCGCCTTACTTTGCAGTACTAAACACACACTGAAACTTTCAGATTCTGTAAAAATAAAGACATTCCTCTCATCTGTAATGTTTCACTTACAAGCTCGCTCACTTCTCTGGAGCACCGCAGAAAGGTTGGCGACTTGTCTGTTTTATAGGTATTTCTATGGATGATGCTCTTCTGAAATATCACCAACTATTCCACCCTTAGCAGAATGTATTCTCGTAGGCATACAGCCTGTAGAAATTCAAAATCACCAGTTCTTACCTCCTTTCCTCAGTTCTCACAATGTTATAAATATTACAGTATTTTCTTTTTCCTCAGAACCGGAATAAAAAAAAACAAAAACAAAAACCTTATTGGTTTTTAAACAAAATTGTTTTGGTTAGTACAGAACGTATTCTACTTCCTCGTTTATTTTCTAATATACTTGTTTCATGGTGAATTCTCAAGTCAAAATATTTTTCCAATATTAATTTTGACAATTGGAAACCGTGATTACTTAGGGGTTCATCATCAAAAAAATGGTCTTTAAAAACATCAAAAATATGACCTTGAATATTTTGGAAAGTTTCTATGATTACTTCAACTTTTAAATTACCTAGTTTCGCAGAAAATGTTTGAACTATTCTTCAACAACCTCAATCTTTTTTCTCCTTCCTTACAGACATTTATGACAAATTGCGAAGCTTTCACCATAATACCATACATTTTTCTTTTCTGTAAACCAGATATGGCTTCACTACACTCTAATAAATGTAAACAGTGAGAACATTTTATAATTTTTTTGATTTTCTTCACAACGAACCCAGCTATATATGCCACCACGTCATCCACATACAAGGTTAAATCCTATACATTTGATGCAATGTAATCATGATCATCTGTTTTCTTCCAATCTCTAATTTTGTCTTCAACCCTATCTCCCTCATTTCTGACCAACCATGAACTAGTGCAATGTAAAATATTTGTTGAGTCCAAAGCTACTGCATTTGCACAGTTGCTTCCCTTTATTTCACTGTGAACTAGTATTTTTTTCATTATACTGCCAAATTGGCGGGCTGTTGGATTATTATTGTATCCCCCCTTAGCTCTAACACAACTGAAAAAGATCTCCAGATGGTCTTGGGACAATTTATATGTCAGGACATACTTCAATTGTTATTTTTTTATGACCCTCTCTTCATACAATTGTTTGAGACTTTCTATACAAATGAGAAAGCCCAAAAAAACAGTTTTCCTTGTTGAATACAAAACAGGAATATTTTCATTTCCAATTATCAGCTTCTTTATATAATCTCTGCAGTGGTTCATATAATCGAAATATTCCTTTTTTGTTTGTGGAGAAAGCGGTTTCTCATAAGGCTTCTTGGTAAATCTACTTCTAGAAATGAAAGTGTCAAATAAATTATTAAAAGTTCTACAAAAAAATGAAGTGGGTTCTGAAAATGAAAACTCTTCTAATTTTAGGACCAAATTTAAATAATCTAAGGCGACTGCAACACTGTTGCTCAGTGTCTGCACTGCAAGTTTTACTTTCATTTTTTCTTTTACCCAGGCAATGTGTCTTTTTCTGAGTTTTGTAGCTAAGTGTTCTGTTTCCTAAGTTCTGTTTCCTGAATTTCGCTCAGTTTCTTTACAAAATCCCATTTGATTGGTTTTCCATAAATTAGTTTTCTTTTTTCTACTCTTCTTACATTAAGAACTTGTTTTGAACCAAAAGCGTTTCTGACTAATTTTATCATGTGACTGGGATCTGAAAACACATACACCTTTTCATTGGTTTCAGGATGAATGAAATAAGGTTTCAAATTTGATGGATTAAGACTGACACCCAACATTTTAACTACAGTAAAATTTGTTGGGGTTCCATCAAATGTAATTGAAGTTACAATAACACCACTTTCATTAATGAATTTAAGGCAATTTTGCAATAAATTAGCCTTTTCAGATCCAGTAAGCCCATTAACAAAGAAATAACTAACTGGAATTTTCCAAGATCCATTCAAGGCAACAAGCAAGTGCCTCCTTTGCTTCATCTAAATTGTCTGATTCAAGGTTGACGCCAAAATCCACATATCCATGAAATTTTTTTCCATCCCATTCAACTCTTTTTCGGATGGCCATCTCATCAAATACAAGATTGCACAATATTTTAATTCCTTTGGAAGAAGCTTAACCTGCTTTAACCTTCAAGGCATTTAGAGCATCCTTCAGAAATCCTGGAGTACAATCAACTGTCTGATACCACTTTGAGAGTGTTCTCACATGAGGAAGACTTTTGAAGAATGTTTGTCTGACATAATTATACGATTTGGTTGAATAAAAATTTAGGGTAAGAGCAAATTGTCTCAATTCAGGTGAATACTTTTGTGTTCCAGGCTCTTGAGCATCCAGTTGAACAATTCTTTTGAAGCTCCAGACAAAGATGCCTATAAAATGAACATAACTGAAACGTCAATCAAAGATATATCACAACTTACATTCAGAGTACACTCTGCATTCTCAGATATCATATTATGATTCCTGAGATGCTGGGTCAATAATTTGAGCGTTTTGATTTTGTGACTCATCCTTCTATTACTTTGCTGTAGTTGTCTTATTTTGGCTCTTTGCTTTGATATGGTGTTTCGGGCTATTTGAAAACACTTTCTTCTATTCTTGGCATCTTCCATATTGTCACTATCCAGATCCCCAAAATATCGAATACTTCTGAAAAGAAATTGGATTTGAAAATGTTATGATTGGATCATCAATTTATTTTTCAATATTGAAATTTTGATTATTTGATTACTTTGATTACTTTTTAAATCAGCCTACACACAGAAAGGAATAAAACGAATGGTCTCTAGAGAAATCAACAGAATGTTTCCTGAATTTCCGTTCCAAATAATACTAGCTGCTGAAAACATATCTTCTTTAGGGAAAAATTACAAATGAGAGGTCTACCACATTGTGCGATTCATTTTGTATGTATAATCTTTTATGAAAAAACTATAGTGAAAGGCAAATTTCTCTCTCTCTGTGAGAATAAAAACTTAATAATTTTCTCTTAGTCAAATGAATCTCCACAGACACTATAAAAATGTACCTTATGAAAATTGAAACTGTGAAAGGTAGTAAAAAATGATGATCCAACCATCATAGCCTACCAAGTACTTGTTTAATTATAATTAAATTAAAAAAATATGTATTATGCATACTTTTTTTTCGAAACAGATCCTTCATTACACCAATTAGTTTTTCTTTTTCTAGGATTGGATATCATTTGTGGTGAACGGACAGTTAGTGTACTGAAAGTTTCCTGCATATCTGTACTCTCATTATCTTTGCATTTTTCTTCAGATAAAGCACTACAACAATATTTCATCAGAATAAAAAAGTTACTTTATTAAAAGTATCACCCACCTCCCATACATTGGCGGAATGTTTTCTAGTTTCAAAAGCAAACCAGATGTGGCAGAGGTTGATGTTTCAAATCTGAAATGAAAATTGAAATATCGAGGTATGAGATATAGGTATGTGGTACTCAAATATCAAGATAATTATGATGGTAAAACCCAAAAACTCAAATGGTCAATTTCGTTAACAAAAATAATTCTACAGATATGAGCTACTTGGTGAAACTAACATCAAGTAAATTATACCAAATTTTTGGGGTTGTGATTGACGATAAACTCAGCGAGAATCCCTATAATGAAGCTCAAACTCAGTTAAAATATTTATTTACTATGTCAGCATTGTAACTAAAGAAACTATTATCTAAACCAACATTCTATTACTTATCTATATTTTACTCTATTCAGTGGTTGTCTATTTTTATTTCCTGAAGTAGTTAGTATTTATATAATATTCATAGTAAAATAAAACTAGTCCATTAAAATTTGGATTGATTCAACCAAAACTCGGCCACTGGGTTTCCTATTTATGGCCGGAAATATATCTCAGTTTCAATAAACTTCATGTTTATTACAAATAGTTGAAACAAATTTTAATGTGCATTTTAGGACAATTTTGGTTTTTAAGATATTTAGTGAAGAGTAATTTCCAATCAGGGGAACTAAGGAAATATACTTAATATAATAAATGCATCACCTTTTCCTGAATGCTTCACTTTTCATTGAATTTTGTGTTTATGTTAATGCTTCTGGTGCAGTTGAAGTAGAAGATGAAGTTTCATCATTAACTTCGGAAGCAGTTAGAGTGATAGAAAATGATTGTTCGGCCAGCATTGGGACAGTCCAAACCTTGCTGTGTCCCTTCATCATATTTCAAAGCTTCTGGTGCAGTTAAAGTGGATGAAGAAAGTATTTCATCATCTTCAAATTCCAATGCAGTCAGTGTTGTTGAAAATGACTGTTCTTTAGCATCAGTATCATCAATGTTTTGTCCCATTTCCCCTACTTCAATGCTGAAAATAATTGAAATTTAGTTTTATAAGATAGGGACATATATTTTTATAGAGGTTACCATTCTGAAGTAGAATGTGACAAAAATATTTGGGGAATAAGCAATAATTACTAAAAATGAAATCACCTTTTCACGGTGTTTAGTTCTTTGATTATATTGAAGAATGTATTAATTTAATTTTTTTTCAAAAAATAATAATTACATATCATCATCATTTCATACAAATGAAATAATCATGCAAGTTTTCTAAAATTAAGATAGTCGATTCTGACTACCTTATAGACACATCGGGTTTCTCATGATCACACACTGCTCTTGGAGTTGATTGGTCATGTATGTCAATGTCCAAAATATTGGATGGTAGTAACTTTCAGCATAGACCTATAATTCATTGACCATTATTCACATATTAGAGGAAATCTGTGACTTCTGGGAGTTTGGATCCTCATCAACATATTCAACCAACATTACAAAAATATTCTAGTGACGACTATGATTGAAACAGAATGTGTTATGGTTCAAACTTACCTATGGAATGTTTTGTCACATCCCGGAGACTGCTTGAGTCCACAAACCTCACAAATTTTGACCATTTCAGATATCACTAATTACACTTATGCTTAAAGTCTTATTTCTTAGGTAAATGAAGGGATTCTGATTATTCTGAATATCACAAAATAAACACAACAATATGTAACCAAACAGGAACAAAGCCGACAAACAAAGAATGATGAATTGATCCAAATGAAGTAAGCTGGCCTTCACGAAACTGCTCGATTGAATCTGAACAATAGGTTTGTTCTGGTTCTACGAAATTCAGGTCCCAGGACGTCAGGATTATGCGCAGTTGATATAGAGCGTTCTGGTTTATTCAGGATAATTTCGGACTGATGAATCCTCTGTTCTGGTTTCGACTGCGAAATGATCCTGAACTGTATGCGACGATCTTCTTTGGTTTCTGTACTGTTGTGACTCCCGTTTCGTCAACGTTCCAAATCCTACTTGCAGTTAGATTGTACCTCTGAAGAATTTCCTTGTATTTTGTGAAAAACTGCTCCACATTTGTTCGGTTAAACGATGTAGCTCGACTTAAACTGGTTGCTTCCGGGCTTCGCAGTGCCAAATTTGGGTTCCTCTTCAAAAATGCTGTAAACCAGTCATTACCAGCGGACTTATTTCTTATCCAACTTACAGGAATGTTGGAAATCTTGTGATAAACGGCAATTTCATACGCCAGTTTTTTGACTTCACTAGGTAGCAAGCCAAAATATATTACAGCACATTGTAGAAGATATTCTGCTAACTTTGTTTCTTGTTGTGTATTAAACACTTGTCTATTTTTTTTATATCCCAGTTCTACCGGTAAGCCTTCTTTCTTCTTTTTCATAAATGTATGTAGTGTTACATGGCATATTTCGAAACTTCTAGCTGCTTCCCTCAGGCTCTTTTTATTTTCCAACACTTCCTTAGCTGCTAGTTCATAGACCTCTTCCGATGTACTTCCACGCGTGGTTTTCCTTTTATAATTCCTCATCCTAAAAAAAAAGGATAAGTAGAAGTTTAATAGGTCGATCCATATCGCACGCAATATTAAATGAATAAATAAATAGTGGACAACATCACATAGATTGCTCCGATCCCTTAGTAAGTAGCTTATGCATTTGTATTATGGAAATAAGAAACAACGAAGATACCACAACACCCAAACCCACAATGTAGAAAACTTAATTTTCTACATTGCCCCAACCGGGGATCGAACCCGTAACCTCAGAGATGGCGGCGCTTTGAAAGCCGGCACGCTAACCACTCAACCACAGAGGTCGTCAAACATTGTCGCCATAACCTTAACATTTTTTAAATGGGATCACATTTGGTATCAAAATTGCACCCTCGTCGTATAGAAACAGTAAGAACAATATTACCTACGTTTAAATTTTTTCAACTGTTAAAACCTGCCCCGTGTGCGGGGCAAATATTAACGCGTTAGAACCTACCCCGTGCATTTTGTTAAAACCAACCCCACGACCCCATTTTGCACAAAGTTATAGTTTTTCTTTTACCGGTTATATTCTCGATTAAAACTTTAACATTAATGAAAAATACAATAAATACAGATTTATGCAATACCAAAGCCANAATTCATTTTTTTTTTCTAGTTACTGAAATATTATGGTATCAATAATAATAATTCAACCATTTTAGGCTTCCTATGTATCCACAAAACCTCCTAACTGCAGCGCGTATGCAAAATACGGGAATGGAAATAACTCCTATCTGCATACTGCTTTATTTTAGAGGTTTTTGTAAATAAAATATGTCATTTTTACAATTCCAACAGACAATTTAAGTTTTTGGTTGCCTAGAATACTTTATAGTAACATAAATTCCTCGAAAACGTTTATTAAAACATTAAAAATTTAAATAAAATTCACCAGCTAATTTACACGTGGTGCTGTCCATAACAAAATGCGAGATAAGAGATATTTCTTCCACAATATTGGGCTTGTGCAGATTGGTGATATTGACAGTTGAACATACGCGGGAACTGTCAGATATTCATGAATAGGAGGTATTTCTATTCGTTAGATTTCAAAATAAACAATTTAGTTAAGTAAAAACCCTATATTAGGAAAATATGGCAGATAGCAGATATTGGTAGTAACAGTCGATATGTGAAGTGTCGTATTGCTAATATTTTATATTTGGTATGAAATATAACATTCGATCTTATGAACTGGAATATGTAGGTCATACTGAAATACAATTTGTAGTAAAATGTGTCGTCAAATTGCAAGATACATGATTCTCTTTCAGAAAAGCAGATGTGAAGTGTTGTATTACTTATGATATTTTATATGATTATGATATTTTTATATTATGATATTTCTTATGAAATATCTTATACAATGAAATATGTGGGTCATACTGATATACAACTTGTTGAATGTGTCCTCAAATCGCATGATACATGATTCTCTTTCAGGAAAGCAAATGTGAAGTGTGCTAATGTTTTATATTTGTTATGAAATATAATACTCCATCTTATAAAATGGAATAGGTGGCTAATATTGATAAACAATTTGTTGAGTCTGTTTAAAATCTGTTTTTCCGTTAATCTCTTTCAGAGAAACAGATTTGAAGTGTTTTATTGCTAAAATTTAATATTATGAAATATAACGCCCAATCTTATAAAATGGAATATTGTCGCAATGCAGTACTCGCTTGGCTTATTAAAGAGAGGATTCTTTTCGCTATTTCACCCATTCATCATCCATCCAAAAAATGAAAGAACTCATTCAAAAACTCGATTAAATATTTATTGAAATGAAACGAGGAAAATATTTCAGGAATAAACTTACATTAAAATGTTATTCAAAAAGAACAATAAATCACCGTAAACTTACATTATACTGCCACCCAGCAGAATCGAAAAGAAGGAGATGTGCTGCATTGCTGGAACCTTTTCTGAAGATGAATAGATACTGAATGAATTTTTCAATACTGTATCTTTTTGATCATGACCTCCCTAAATATTTATGAAGATTCATACGTTGACATTGCAACTTTGATTCGGTCACTGTACCAAGGTAAAATACTCAGTATGCAATCTGTGCAAAGTTTGCGTATTTGGAGATTGTTTATATTTTTATATCCTGTGATCGTATCAATTTCGATGTCTATGAACTTGGAATATTAAAAGATGGAATTCTGAATACTGAGTGTTTTTGTTTTACAATATTGAAGTGAGGTTGGAACATCTTTCAATTCACGTATTCGCTTAAATTAATTTGAATTATTTCATGATTATTTTCCATATTTGACACATCTCTCCTCGATGAAGCTGGCCCCCAGCTTTGTGGGTGGTAACGGAAAACAAAAAAGCCAAATTGAAATTCAAATGAAACTTACAACTTAATGAAAATATTTTGAATAAATTTCCTCAGCTCTCACAATGTCCTAAATATTACAGTATTTTTTTTCCTGAGAACCAGAATAAAGAAAAAACAAAAACATTATTGGTTGGTTAGTACAGAACGTATTCTACTTCCTCGGTTATTTTCTAATATACTTAATTTTGACAATCGGAAACCGTGATTACTTAGGGGTTCATCATCAAAAAAATGGTCATCAAAAATATCACCTTTCATATTTTGGAAAGTTTCAAGGATTAGTTCAACTCTTAAATTACCTAGTATCGCAGAAAACATGTTTGAACTATTCTTCAACAACCTCAATCTTTTTTCTCCTTCCTTACAGACATTTATAACAAATTGGAAGCTTTCACCATGATACCATACATAATAAATGTAAACAGTGAGAACATTTAAAAAATTTTTGATTTTCTTCACAACGAATCCAGCTATATATGCCACCACGTCATCCACTTACAAGGTTAAATCGCATACATTTGATGCAATGTAATCATGATCATCTGTTTTCTTCCAATCTCCAACTTTGTCTTCAACACTATCTCCACCATTTCTGACCAACGATGAACTAGTGCAATGTAAAATATATGTCGAGTCCAAAGCTACTGCATTTGCACAGTTGCTTCCCTTTATTTCACTGTGAACTAGTATTCTTTTCATTATACTGCCGAATTGGCGGGCTGTTGGATTATCATTGTATCCTCCCTTAGCTCTAACACAACTGAAAAAGATATCCAGATGGTCTTGGGACAATTTATATGTCAGGACATACTTCAATTGTTTTTTTTTCTATGACCCTCTCTTCATACAATTGTTTGAGACTTTCTATACAAATGAGTAAGCCCAAAAAAACAGTTTTCCTTGTTGAATACAAAACAGGAATATTTTCATTTCCAATTATCAGCTTCTTTATATAATCTCAGCAGTGGTTCATATAATCGAAATATTCCTTTTTTGTTTGCGGAGAAAGCTGTTTCTCAGAAGGCTTCTTGGTAAATCTACTTCTTGAATTGAAAATGTCAAATAAATTATTAAAAGTTCTACAAAAAAACTAAGTGGGTTCTGAAAATGAAAACTCTTCTAATTTTAGGACCAAATTTAAATAATCAAAGGCGACTGCAACACTGTTGCTCAGTGTTGCACTGCAACTGCGGCACTGCAAGTTTTACTTTCATTTTTTCTTTCACCCAGGCAATGTGTCTTTTTCTGAGTTTTGTAGCTAAGTGAAGACCCTGTGTTTCCTGAATTTCACTGTTTCTTTACAAAATCCCATTTGATTGGTTTTCCATAAATTAGTTTTCTTTTTTCTACTCTTTCAACATTAAGAACTTGTTTTGAACCAAAAGCGTTTCTCACTAATTTTATCATATGACTGGGATCGGGAAACACATACACCTTTTCATTGGTTTCAGGATGAATGAAATAAGGCTTTAAATTTGATGGATTAAGACTGACACCCAACATTTTAACTACAATAAAATTTGTTGGGGTTCCATCAAATGTAATTGAAATTACAATAACACCACTTCCATTAATGAATTTAAGGCAATTTTGCAATAAATTAGCCTCTTCAGATCCAGTAAGCCCATTAACAAAGAAATAACCAACTGGAATTTTTCAAGATCCATTCAAGGCAACAAGCATAAATACTAGTGCTACCTTTGCTTCATCTAAATTGTCTGATTCAAGGTTGACGCCAAAATCCACATATCCATGAATTTCTTTTCTATCCCATTCAACTCTTTTGGTCATCTCATCAAATTCAATATTGCACAATATTTTAATTCCTTTGGAAGAAGCTTCACCTGCTTTAACCTTCAAAGCATTTAGAGTATCCTTCAAATATCCTGGAGTAAAATCAACTGTCTGATACCACTTTGAAAGTGTTCTCTCATGAGGAAGACTTTTGAAGAATGTTTGTCCGACATAATTATACG